CCCGCCATCCCGGTTTCCGCGGGATTTGGCGTAATCCCCACGTCGAGCGCCCCTATAAAGAGCCGAAGCCCAAGCCACAACTGTGCTGTGCATCTACGCCGCCAGGAGCCGCCCTAGCCTTGCCGTCCCGCTCGCGTCAGATCTCACCGAGAACAGAGCTCGCCCACCGCCGTTGAAGCCCTTGCTCGCTGCCTTCCCGTCGAGCCTAGTCCATTGCCAATTCCCGTACCAAGGTGACGAAGCTGAAGGATCCTTTTTCTTGCCCTCTTTCGCTCTCTGTCTCTCTCACGCCGATGCCGAACCATCGCAGGAAGGTGCTGCCCGCCACGACGAGACCCGCGTCGACACCAAGCCCTCTCCGTCCAAGAAAAGTGCCTAGGTAAGTTCTCCGTAGTCCGCCCTACGTCCCCGTGCCTTCCCCGCGGAGAACCGAGGACTCTACATCGTTTTCGTCGAACTCCGGCGAGGTTCTCACCGCCGTCAATGGCAGCCACCGCGCCCCTCCCATACCCCTTCGTAACCGGTCCACAAAACAGTGTGGACGCGGTTACTTCTACACCCAGTGAACCCAGGTGGTCACCAATACTCGCCTCTACTAATCAGTTAAAAAATTAAAAATCATGCAGCCACGCTGCTGGCCCATCGCCAAACACACCGCTGCCCATCACCTTCGCTAAGCCCATCCACGACGGATCTCGTTCGTTGCCCTCTTGAATTCTCATCATAGACTTGCTGCATGGATTTCTTTATGGTTGGTGTGTAGTCCACCCACGTAATCATGAATATCGCCCTCAACACAGTGGAGGTGTTGTTGCCGTCATATAGGCCGCCTATGCTACATCCCCGCCCATGCCACCTAGCTCAGGCCCAACCACCACCAGATCTGGTGCCACCACACATGATCCGCCTGCAATCGACTGTGATGAAGTCTTTGGAGAGAGTGAGCAAAATGGAGAAAGATGAAGGGACCATCACCGATCAAAGACCATGGTGTGCGAGTACCGAGGTTGGAAACCAATGTGAGAGTAATTGGATGTTTTATACAAATCACCAAAGAGGGTGAAACCAGCAAAAGCACTAGAGAAATACATCATTTAATTTCCTTGTACATAGTATCGTGGATTGGGAGGTTCGAAACCTGAAAATACTCGGCTGGTGTCCCTCTGATGATGACGACAGACTACTCAATTCTTTGAAACTAGTCAAAAGAGTTGTGTAAGCCTGAGCATCGAAATGTCTATTTTGCCTAATAGGAACCAACATGTACAGAAGTCCATGTAAGGCATAGTATAATTGGTGGAAGCGTTCTAGATGGCATTACATAGATATGATTAACAATAATTCGATCACATTTCACATAATAGTATAATACATTAGAAGCGACCATACTATTAGACAAGCACACAGCAAAATAAAGTGAGCTTATGACGACCCATACAACTAGCACAATAATATTTTTTTACAAGACCACTCTTCTTTCCTTTAGATCATGGAATTCAAAAGTTATATCTTCGTAACTGTATACCATAAAATTTCTCCTTCTATAAAGGTACTCATTATATGTAAAACTAGAAAAACAGACGGACTAGCACTGGTGCAGGACTAGGCATCAGTTCCGGTTGAAAACCCCCCTTTAGTCCCTGTTTTCCAACCGGAATTGCAAATCCGGGACTAAAGCCCCCCTTCGGACGGTTACGGCAAATCGGATGAAAAGTGGACCTTTAGTTCCGGTTGGTATTACCAACCAAGACTAAATGGCCCCCAGGCATTGCACCGGAGCTGGTACCTGTAGTCCTGGTTGGTGTTCCCAACCAGTACTAAAGGTTCTTTGTTTTTTCATTTCATTCCTTTTCATTTTATGGTTTCTTTTCAATTCAATTCTTTTTTGTTTCGATTAGCTTTTCATATACGAATTCTACGCTGCTAATATACGTCCACGTATAAGGTTCCGTTCGAGCATTATACATAATTAAATAACACACTAAAATGTATGAAACTACATATATACAAATATTTTTAGAGGTTGTACATGCTTGGAATATGTATATAATAAAGTCACAAAAACCTTGTACTGATTATGTCCTTGGGATTTCATTCAACCCTAATTATCTTTAGTCGTATGGCTACTAGGTATTAATTCTTTAGGGTCATAGTGGTACGCGCTTTTGGGATCTATGACCTCATCCATAAGAAATCCTGCCAATGCCTCTTGAATTCCTTTGATCTGGTCACATCGCATAACCTTTCGCTTCCTCTATTCAATCTTCAATTCGAATGAAAGGAAAAGTACGAATATATATATGATTATATATATCAACACAATGGTAATAAATAAATTGTGTATATTTTTTACGTACTTCGAGGATCTCTTCACTTGTTCTCCTTTAGTACTCCATCATGAACTCATAGGCGTAGTATCCACATAAGATATTCCCCGATCCCTGCTGCAGACACCACTTTATGAGAAAAAAATTCATCATCAACCAATGAGGCATGGTAATAATGAATTGAACTAAATAAAGATGTGGTGACCTAACTAGTACTTACTGGGTATTGGACTACATTCACAGGCACTTTCCACTGAACATAATGGTGTTTCTCGACGAACCTTTTCCAAGCACTGCCCAACAAAATAAATAAATGGAGTTATATCAATAAAATAGTATAAAAGAGTATACAGTGTGCAAGACCGAAATTACCACTGGAGAATATCTATCATTTCTTGGTAATATGTTCAGGGTTTTGTCGCCGAGTCAAAGATCTTTACAGTACTCCTGAGCATATCGATGACCAGGAGTATCCAGTGATAGCTACATGTTTGTACGCAAGGATAACTCATTAACTAAAGTCAACATGGAGTAAGCAAAATAAAATAGGCACAAGACATTAACACTCACTTGAAGTTGTAAGAAAAGAGTATGAGTGTCTTTTTATGTTGGTTATCTAAGAACCTAAACATATTATTCTACACTTGAGGTCGCCATCTATCATATGTAGTAACAGTGTCCTTGAATGTGCGATTTGGATCCATGAAACCAACATTAGTTAACCCTTTTCTCTTTAGTTTCAGCATCTCATATCTGCATTTATATAGTATAAAAGAATATATATAGTGTGAGGATAACTATATATAGACAACGAACTAACATGCAAGTTACTTTAATTGTAGAAAGAATCACTTACAGACACCAACAACTGAGGAGAGATTTGTTGAGAGCATCCTAGTTTAATAGTTGGTGTAATTCATTGAACTCAATATGTAAAACGTCATAGCCACTGAAGTAATGCTCTGGTCTAATTCTGACAACAAGCCATGCCTCTTCATTGTCACACGCTCTTAAGTACCACTTGTTTAATAAGTACATTTATGTACCCAGTGATGACAAGGACTTAGGGTTGACAAGACTCCTGCCATACTCATAGGTCCTATAAATATCAAAGTTGGTTGTTGGTATAGATCCTCCCCCAATGAGTTGTTGAGGTGTGAGACCTATTGTGGCCATGAAGTCTTGGAGTGCCTCCCTATCGATTGTACCGCCTTGTGCATTTGTACAATCATCCTCAACAACTAGCGGGTTGATAGATTGCTGCCCGAGCTGTGCAACATCTTTCCCTGCTCTCTTCACTTTCAGCGACGCCTTATATGACTTGTCAAGAGAGCATTCATAGTCCGATAATGGCGAGGGCTTACGTGCATCACGCTGCTTTTTCTCGCGCTCATTGATTTTTTTTTTAGTTCTCATTGAGCTATATAGTGCGGCTTTGGCAGTTTTTCAACTCATAAGTTCCATGAATTCTCTAATAATCATCTTTATTTAGTTTTAGCCTAGAAAAATCTACAAGATCTCGGTACTCTGGCTGTGCTAACTCAGAGGTATCATCATGATATTTCCCTTGGAAGTGAATTATTTCTTTCAGGATGAACCGGCCCATGCCCTCGCATATGTTTATGATGTCAATGATATACCTACAAAGAAAGATTATAGTCATCATATATTTACAAGCGACCAATGCATTTGCAACACTAATGACAACACATGACAATTACTTTGCTAGGGTTCGTGGTGTATCGCCTGTTTTGTCTGGGAAACTCGCACAAGTGGTACCCCATAGAGGACCGATCCAAATAGTTGCTCGTGGCACTATATAACAAGTGCCAAGTGGTTATTTAGTTGTTACATATACATATATACTAGACATATATGATATTTATTTAAAATTTACTGGACATTTGATCCGTACGGTTTTGATTGTCGTTTTATATTGTATTTTCCACACATGAACTTATACCACTTGTATGCCATGCAAACCTCGAATAAAATCACCAAGTCATTCCCAAACTATCATTGACAATATAAAATGTTGAAAAGTATGCATGCATGTCTCGACTTACTGTTGTATAAGTGTAAAGAATTTTTCATGCGTGCTCTGCGGGTAATCTAGTGAGCCAAGGATCAACATCCTCCCATCCTTGGGATAAATCATCATACAAATCCAATAGTCTTTGCACGAATTTAATTAATGCAGTGCATTAAGATAGTAATTTTGTTAATTATTAACGGAGTCAAGCACCAGCATACTGGAAGTTGTATGGGGCCACTACGCATTCCCTGTCTTGAAATTTAAGAAATGTGTTTCCAATGTAGGTGGCCACGGCAAGGTCGAGGTCTTGTTGCATCTTCGCTTTAGTACTCACAATTTCCTCGTCAATCTTGCCCTGAAGTTTATCGTTACTCAGTTCGATCTCCAGCCTTTTGTCAGCGGAAGCTACGTTTTTTTTTTTTTTTTTTGAAACTACCTACGTTTACTTTTTCAAAAGTGAGAACCATGGTTAAATAGGGATAGGAGAATGTGAGCTGATTTTATTATTATTATTTTGACAACGATATGTGAGCTGATTCGGAATTTTGGACATGCGATGGAGACGTTGTCGCTTTGGGCCGTTGGGCCTGGGCTTACCTCCCCTTTGCTATCGATCTGGCAAACTACATTTTACAGCCATGTTACTCTCCGGCCGCCACCACAAATTCACCCCTTCCTCACCGCCGGCCTCCTTCCGCTCCCCCCGTCTCCGCCGTCTCCGGCCACTTCGGCCCCCAACCCTTGCATCCTCGAACCCTCCGCCGCCGCCATCGCCACTACCTTCCCATTTCACGTCGCTAAGGCGTCCATGGCGGTGGCGGCACAGCGCCAGCGGCACCGGCGCCGGCGACGTTGTCCAAGACCTTCCTCCGGTGGAAGCCGATGGCAAAGCCACCGTAGGGGGCAAGAAGAGCTTCTGGGGAGCGGTGAGCCTCATCATCGGCACGGCGGTCGGGCCGGGCATGCTGGGCCTGCCGTCCGCCACCATCCGCTCCGGCCAGGCGCCCTCCGCGGCCGCCATCCTGCTGTCCTGGGTCTACGTCGTGTCCTCCATCGTCCTCGTCGCCGAGCTCAGCTTCGCTGCCATGGTGCGTGACGGCGTCGACGAGGTCAGCTTCACGGGACTTGCGTCGAGCACCCTGGGGGCGGGCCTTGGCGCGGTCGTCGCTGTCGTGTACGCCGCGCTCAGCTTCTCCCTGCTCGTCGCCTGCGTCGCCGGCATCGGCTCGATCGTCTCCCAGCTGTTCCCCGGGGTGAACCCGGTCCTGGCCAACGCCCTGTTCCCCTGCTTCGCCGGCGTCCTCATCGCCTTCTTCCCTTTCAAGGCCGTTGACGGCGCCAACCGAGCCCTTTGTGGCCTGATGCTAGTTTCGATTACCGCTCTCGTGGTGACTGGCGTGTCCGTCGGCCGGGCCAGCTTGCTGAGATCTCTCAGCTACGCTTGCTGGAGCCCGGGCGCGATCCTGCCAGCCATACCGGTGACCGTGCTCACGCTCGGGTTTCATGTCATCACACCGTTCATCTGCAAGATTGTGGGGGACTCGGTGTATGATGCTCGGAAGGCGATACTGATTGGGGGCGCTGTGCCATTGGCCATGGTGCTCTCATGGAATGCCGTCATTCTTGGGCTGGCTAGTGCTGGTGGCAATGCTGGGTTTGATGACCCTATCAAGCTCCTTCTCTCAGTGAATCCAGCTGCGCTGCCTGCTGTTCGAGGCTTCGCTTTTGCTGCACTGGCGACAAGCCTGATAGGGTACGCAGTGAGCTTTCCGAAGCAGTTGGCAGACACAGTGGAATTGATTCTTCAGAGGTTTTCTCAGAAGCAAGGAAGTGTGCACCAACCTAATGCTAGCAGTAGCAGAAATGGGGCGATTCTGACATGGACGGTGCTGATCATTCCCATCTTTATTGCGTCGTTCTTCTCAGCTGCCTTCTCCAAGGCACTGGATTTTGCTGGGGTTTATGCAAACTGCTTCCTATTTGGGATTCTGCCTCCTGTTATGGCCTGGATCCATCGGTCACAGACGAAAAAGAGGTATGCTGTAAGATACGATTTATATCTGTCAACATTAGTATAACTGTAAAAATTGAAACCAAATATTTGCATACACCAAGTGCAGATTAGTTGTTACTTGTTAATATATTAGTCTGTCAACAGCAGTAAATTTCTGAAATGGTTACAAGTGGAGTAGTTGTGTTTGCATACATTAGTCTGTAGTCTATTAGAATTGGTGCTCAGTAACCAAGTAAAGTGACCCTTTATTGCTAACAAGACACTAAATCAGAGGTCAGCTTCAAGAAGGCACTTAGTTCATTTCAGACCCTGACTCATACCTCCTTTCAGTCTTTCTAGATGTGAACCTATCATTGTTTGGACCACTGCTATCAAAAGGTTTAGTTGTGCAACAAGTGATCTAGCTTCATCATTTTCAGTTAACCAATCATTGATGTTCTATCCCTGTAGGCATACAAAAGTTCCCTTTACTACTTGCATTTGGATCAAATGATAGCCTCTTTTGTCTTTACTTGTTTGAGTAAAATTATTTGATCTATCTGATAAGGCCTAAGCACTCTCTTTTTTTAATGTGGCAAAATATCTTATTATGTAGAAGGTGATATAGGCCTAATATCGGTAGGTTGAGCTTATGGACTGTTATAAGTCTGTAAACTCTAGATGTTGTTCACTTATCCTTAAGTGTTTATAAATATTGATCACAGTTTTGATTATCTGTTTCATCCTTTAGATCTCCTGATTCATGTGAAGATATTTTGCCCGGCGGAAATGCTGCTCTCATGATACTTTTCGTTATTGCTGTTATCCTAGCAATCTGGCACTAGTAGAAGGTAAGCACATCAGGGTTGTTTCTTTGTCAGACCGTTCATCAGTGAATCGAAAGCACTAAGGTGGTTAGAGCCTTCAGCTTCTCAGTATTCATGGCATCATGTTTGAATTGCTCTCCTCATGTCATGATTTTCTTCTTTATTTGTTCCTCGGTTGATTGCTAATTAACTATTTACCCATTGAAATTTCTCAATCATAAGATTTTAGTGAAACCAATTGTCTTTTATATAAAGATTGTATCTTCACTTCTGAACTAACGAAGTTAAGAAATGGATTGTGCGTGTTTTTTTTTCATTTTTTGGTGGATTGGAAAATGTGCAAAATGCATAGTACCTACAAATGTTGAATCTCGCAAATACTGTGAGCTAGTTGCTGGTGAAATTGTTTGTGTCGATTGTGCTGATTTGACAAGCTAACTTTTAACCAAAAGAAGATTAACTCAGTAACCTATCTGGGTGTAGTGGCTTAGACCTTGCCATATCGAGAGGTCACTGTCACTCTGCGGGACGAACCTGTGATTTCCCAAGTTTTTTAAATCGAGACAGTGAAAACAGTTTCTTGTTGTCCCCTGTGAGGCTGTGATTCCTTGCTGCCAAGGCTATTTAACACGCAATGTTTCCTTGACCTCTCACTCATATACCGTGTTATTACTTCATACTTAATTCTTGCTTTAGTTAGTGCAATATTTCGATGTCATTAGAAATTTAGAATGCTAGTGGCTCATCACGTGAGATACGTGGGGTAACCCAATTCATGGCAGTGTGGAACTCCACTTTGACCCGGCCTGCGGGCCGTCCGACACGACCCGACCCATTGGGCCGCATGCAGGTACTGGATGCATCTGCATGGCCAGACAGACAGGAACAAGGGCGGGCCGGGGCTGCTGCGGCACTGTCTGGACCCTGTAAATATAGAATATTCGACATTATTCGTTTCTGCAAGCACCAAATACCCTGTAAAGCCATCTAAAATTTAAATCTATAAATAATTAGTAATGTAAATGATGTCAACTTTAATAAACCAAATAATGTGCACCATTTAAATTATTTAAAACTTATCTCGATGGCTAATAACATTATGTAATATTATAATTATTACTAACGACATGTAAAGGTTAGTTTTAATATGGTTAATGATATTAATTTTAAGTACTTTAGTAATTCATATAGTGACGAAATTATTTTTATATATTTCAAACTATTTGTTGATGAATATTATTCATAGTTTTATTTATTTTTGATATATTTCATTATTGAATTACTTATTATATATATTATTTTTATGATTTATTATCATCCACCGGCGCTATATAATCATGTTCTCTACATGTATAATGATTTTGTTCTACTAAAACTATGGACAAGCAAATAGATATATGTTATCTTCAAAATCTAGTAAATATCCGAATGGGAAACCGAATTCGAGACATTCGTTTTGCATTTGTATCTGAATTCGAATTAAAAATGTGGTAAATAGTGTTATCCATGTTCGATTTCGTGTGGACCCGGTCCGAATTTATCCCTAGCTGGCTGCGCCCTCGCGCACCCGCCGGCGCTGTCCATGTCTAACCGATGACCAGCGGCGGCACTTGTTGCTTGCGAACCGTGTTTGTTTGTTTGGATGTGGGTGGCAACCTGTAACCGGGCATGTTTGTTTGCCTGGATGCCTTGCGGGTCTGATTTGCACGGTGCTTAATTAAAGCACCTGCAAGTCTACAGCTGGTGTTTTTGTTTCTAGCGGGCTCAGTCACGCGGTGGCTCTCCCAGGTCATTTTTGCTAGGCGAACAGTGGTGTTGCTGGCGTCCTCGTGCTGGAGGGGCAAATGTCCCCCACGCGCTATGGTTACGGCTCCCCTTTTATCCATGGGCGTCGCCTTCTCTCCTCGTCTACTCCTCTCGCTCTCTCACTTGGTCGCTGTCACAATCCTCTCCCTCTTCCATCTCGCCGGAGGTCGCTGGGTACCAAGCTTCGTCCTCTTCTTCTTGGTAGCAGAGTCTCCTGCTGGGCATATTTGTTTGCCTGCATGCATCCGTCGCAATTGGTGGTGGACGGGGTTGCACCTTGGTCAGCTCATTGTGGACGGCCGCAGACTGACCACGCCACGCTGCAGAGTGTGCCCAAGGCCCTTCTCTCTGGTGCCCATGCATCCGGATGAAAGCAGTCAAACTTTCCCGTGCCTCTGGCTGGGCAGCCAACCTGAGAAAGCCCATGGCACAGTACTCCTCTACGGGCCCTTTTGTCTCAGGTGCCAGCTTCGACCCTAGCACCGCATCAATCCGGTGGGATGAAAACAGCCCACCAAGGGCCTCCTCAAACGTCTTTTCAAACTAACATTATTATCATTGGTCTTGAAATCAACACTTCAACTTTTTAACTGTGCTTTCCTCTAATTCGTTGAATCATCTTTTACAACCACTGAGCTCCAAATGAACCTGCTGCAAGAGCCAGTAAACAAAGGAGATATTAGTTTCGGCCATGAGCAAGCAAAAGGAAGAACGTCTAGAATTTTAGTAGATAGATTCACCACCAAAAAAAAAAAACATAACCATGGACACACGGTAATATATTTCTATAGCTTTTAGATGCTATAAACACAAGTTATATTTCTATAACATGGTGATATATTTCTATAGCTCTATGCATCTTAAGTCGTATTTTAATATTCTATAGCTAAAAGCTATAGAAATATTACCCTCTCTAACATGGTGATATATTTCTATAGCTTTTAGCCATAGAATATTAAAACAGGACCATGAACTAAACACAAGCATCTAAATCAAAACGCACAACTAAACTTCAGATGCATAGAGATAAATTATCTGTTAGAGAGGGTGCACTTGCCTTGTGGATGTATAGACATGTCTCGTAGAAAAGGTGCATATAGTGAAATTTTAACCAAACTTATTGTTTTTGCATTTTTCTTTGGGTGCATTTGCACCCCTAACCACAACATATATTCGCCCCTGTACATGCAAGAGCGCTTCTCAAAAAATGTGAAGTA